AACGATAACAACGGCACCTTCATATTCCGTTTCCTTTGAAGTTCTCATGTTGCGCGTTATCTAGAGACTGGCCTCTGTCTCTTTATCATGAAATAAAGTCACCTCCTATTCGGCAACGCGCATGCACGCATCTTTTTTATATGTCCGGGTCTATACCTACTTTTTTATTGTCTGGTGAACGACCAGACCACTTACCATAAGCTTCTTTAAATATTCCGAGCATCCCTCGTTTATGTCCCTTCGGTGGGAAACGATGTATCGAGTATGCATGAAGAAAAACTTGGATATAATAACAGGTGGGTGATCGCGGCGGAAAATAATGTACCAAGTATGTGTGAAAAAAAAACGTGGGTATAATAACAGGTGAGTGATCGTCCTAACCGCAGGGGCGAGTACAACACATGTACACGATACACGTACACGAGGTACGTACACCCGTTATATCTCACGCATGCTCTTGGACATACATTTTCGATTTTGCAGGGGAAATTGTTTCAAAAATATATAAAGTATTACCGTAGTTTTCTTCTTTACTATAGCGATGGAAATCGTGTTATTGGCACAATTTCTGGAGAGATCTCGCTTATATATTATATTACTATACATCTGTAGTTATATGTGTGTGTGTTTAATCATGCTATTATCTGTAGATTTATTCCGCATAGTGCGGAAGAAGACATTTTCATTCTTCAACAAGGTAATATATTTGAGAACTTGCATGTAATAAGGTGTTTTTCATACATATTAATATTATCAATATGTAGCTATATATATTAAAACTCTACATTTTTATTAAACTATATATAATATATATATATATTGGATGATTGCATAAGTTCGTGCCCGATTTTCATAGATGGTATTAAGTTACTGCATGGCGGAGTTCTATTGTTTTCGTGTGGTAATTGTTGCTTACACCGAATAGATGACATTGTCTTATGTCAATAAAATAATAAAAATGTTTATATATATATAAACATATGCCTCCACAAATTCATATACTAAATTCATCCTCAAATGGGTTTCGGAGTATATTACGGAGTACCTTATATATTTACAATTAATTTATTGACAAATATGATTATAAAAAGAATAAACATAAGAATATAAAATATTGCGATTAATATTGTTACATTGTATAAAACCAATACCATCTTATTATACTTTTCAAAATTTGATATAAATGAGTAAGTGTTTATTTCCATTTAAAATTTTGAACTTTGCGCTGTAAATAAAAAGTGGTTATTATAGCGTATAAGAGACATATACGCACGCACGCACGCACGCACGCATACATACACACGCACACATACATATAGATATATTACGTGAAATATTTTATTTTATTTAATAAGATCAAACTTGTTTAATTGCATCTACCCTCTTTCTTCCACCAAAAAATCACGATTTTTATCATGCAGATAGTTATCGGTAGAGTGAACTGTAGATTGTCTATAACCAGCATGATGTCCGAATGAATCCTCATGAGAGAATGTAGAGCGGGAATCACAATAACCGTTGATACCGTTAGGAAAACGAGAAGCGTGCATAAATTGCACATGTGTTTCTCCCATGTAGTTTGCACGCAGTTAGGCCAAAGCCCGATTAATTTTAGACTAAATCGATTCAGCCTCACTGCCCATTCGAAATCTATCTGTTACGGAAGTTTCAGTAAATTGCATTAAAAATTTACAAGTAAAGACGATTAATTGTAAGCGTCGTATTAATTGATTTATCGATTAAACAAATTTATCGTTTTCAATGCATGTATTGCAATATAATAAAAAATTAGAATATTAAAAATATAAATAATATGCGAGTAATTATTTGCACTCTTATAAATAAAATCATATATTATAATACAATTATTAAAAAATATTTTTGAAAATACTTTTATTATGCACCAACATATATGTGATAAAAGTATCTTACTTTTTTATTTTATTCGATAAAGTATAGCTTTTATCTAATTTTAACTTGACAATAATCAATTATGATATATTTACAATGAGAAGCACCTTGGTACGCGGAATATTTTGAAGCTTTCATGTTGGACGTGGTCTATAGACTGACGTTTATCTCCCCATCATGAAACAACGTTAACTTCTATTCAGCAAGACATAACTGTGTATATATGAAAAAAAAAACCTTTGACAGTGTGAGCACGATCAACGTGCATAAAGACGGATTTTAGAGGTACTAAACACCCCTTGTTGTGTTCGCCAAGTTTTTCCATGTAACAACGTTGAAGGTATTCATGAATAAAAAATGACATAATAACTGGTTTTAAATACCTTACTTGTAGACCCCTGCGTAGATGCACTACTTACGGTCTCACGCATTCGTAATCGATGAGCATTGTGTGTAGTCTTAACTATAGATACTTTATAATAAAAATTCTTGAGAGCACGAAACGAATCGACGCGTACAACGGAGGGTTTTAAAAATTCTAAAACGCTCTTTATCGTGTCCCTCGTGCGACAATGTTCGAGTTGAATAAAGTAGTCTCGAAGAAAATAAGTACCTGCGCGCTCACGCGATGCATAGCACACTTGTTGCATTCTCACGCACACGATAATAATCGATTTTCAGTGATGTGTCTTAACTATAGGCTCAACTTATAGTAATGAGCGATGAACTGTGTGTAGAATATTGCTTTCAGTGCGATAAGTAGAACAAATCGGTATAATTGCGACGAGAATAGATCTTTCTACTACTTTCTATTGCATATAGTACAATTGATATATAATTATTACTCTTTAATCAATTTATAATAAATGTTATATAAACAATAAGCACGTATTGATTTTATATTAATTATTGCATTTACTTGCCGCATTTATTTTGTCTGAATCTATCGATAAAATGTAAAATATTTTGAAATATTTCTGATCTTTTTTGTTGCAGATGAAAAAATTCGCACCCTTCTTCGATATTCTGTAAATACATATATCTACAAAGTGAATTAAATCGATATTTTTGTTGCTTCGTAAATGTGAAGTAATCATACATATATATTTTTTATATGTGTAAGCATCATTCAAATTATATATAAAAAGAACATCAATTTTTCGAGAGAAAAAAGTTTCATCAAATTATTATAACTTGATGCACAAAATAATTTTAAGCCTTCATATATTCTAGTTTATTTTATACTTTGCGTGAATCAAGTCTTCTACTCTTTATACTTTATATCAATAGTTTACAATTGTTTTCTCAATATTGAGATGTAACAAAATAAGTAATACTTCCCCATTGGAATATCTTAATACATATTGAAAAAACAGCTTATGTAGATATTGGCTACAGTTCTTCTTATAAGCTTAGAAGATTTTTTTTTGTATATAATTTATTTTATTTGAACATAAATATTATTAATCGTATGTCTAAATATAATTATTCTGTAGAAATTAATATTCACCTGTTTATTACTAGTTGCAAAATCCATCTATTGCTAATTATATAACATCAGAAGTAATTTGAATCTATTTTAAACTTTTAAATTTTTAATTAACTTTTTGTTGTAAGGAGGACAGATATATAACTGGCTGACGTTTTTATTAGCTGAAAGTTACGTACAACAACATATAAGTAAATATACAAAGAATAATTAAAATAAATATTCTCTCTTTTTTTTTAATTAAAATAAATTAAAAACGACAATTTTTCACAATCCTTAAGTTTTTTATATTAAAAGAGACGAATTTTATATGATCAAGATACGATATACCATCATTGTGTCTAACGACAATAAATTGTGTGTATTAAAAAAAGTTATGATTTATAATCATAATATATAATGTATTTTCGATAACTTACGTTACAAAATGTAGCCATTGTCATAGGGAATACTTTGCCGGCGGTGAGATAGATTGGTTTACTGCTTTTAATCATCAAGAGGATTAAGCCTCTCGCGTTCTTTGGATCTAGAATGTACCATTTGTAATTGTACACAGCGTAATGGATTCGATCGCACTGAAAATTATCGGAAATTCGTTTATTATTACACAAAATATTAATTTAGATTATAAAATTTCTTGCAATTGTGTCCACTTTACAATTAACATATTGACAACATATAATTTATATAATAATGATGTCTGAGACGTATAAAAATTTTTTTCGTCGAAACTTTTTGGACTCGTAAACATCGTGGATATCATTGAAACAAAAATCAATCTCGTAGTATAAGTAATTTTTACCTGAATTACTAGAATTTCTCCTACGGCGCAATAAAGGCACATGTGACCGAACGTGTTGATAACAATGCATACTTCGTACACCAAGTGGCTGATCAATATATCGTTACCTTTCTCTATTAACTAAGACGACATAAATAAAGTGCAATTTTTGTACTAACCGAGACAATACGCGCTTAAAAGATCCTAAAAATGTCTTTATGAACGTCTTATATCAAAAAATATCACTTACGCTCATTATCAAGAATCCGTAACAAGCAAAAAGTATACCAAAATATAAAAATAGTACAAGAAGCATTATATTAAATGTATCTTCTATAACGGCAATGGCTCTGAAAAAAAATATCTCAGACCAAAATACTAATGGAGAGATAATAATTTTAATAATATTATATATGACATGCATTTTTTTTATGATCTAATTAATATAAAAAAAGAGAATGACAATATAAAAGCTTATGGCACAAGACATTAAGTACCTAAGTAACCGTGTGTGGTCTTCCACGTTGCTTCTCAGCATGTTGTGAAAATCGATTTTGTCCACATGCTCGATACGATTTCTTAGAATCTCCAATTGACCGCAGATATGGAACACCAGTAGCCCGAGAAAATTATCGATACCGGTATAGGACATGATGGCGAAAAACATAGAAATTATCTGAAGGACGAACGTTAATTCGTATTGCGGGCTCCTCATCACATCGTAAACGTGATACGTCTGCAACGGCAGCAACCTGCCCGTATCGGTGATGTTCGTCAGATATCTCATCGAAATCCCGCAAATAGGCAAAACGGCGACTAAGACAAAGGCTATCATCATCGCGCCGTATCCGCACGTGATAATTATACGCGCGGTCTGCGCTCTCCTGATCATCGTGTCTCGCTCCTGCTCGCTTTTCAGTTTCAGCCAATCCTCGGCGACCATGTTTAACACCCATATAATAGCTTTGAAAGGGACGAAAGGACAATGTTAAAGAAGGGTGATTTTTTGCCTTTGAGAGGAATAAAAAGAAATTTCGAAACTTAAAGAAAATATATTAATAATAATAGAAAAAAATGATTAAAGCTGGGGAAAATTATTGAGAGACGATACTGAAACGATACTTTTATCAAATCAGGATACTAATTTGGAAGATAGCTATGCAACATATAAAAAAATATGTAGGTTTTTTTTTAGAAAAAAATAGTCGAAGTTTTTTAGAAAGTATACAGAAAATTATCTTACTAATTAATCTACGTCAAAATTTCGAGAAAATAACAATTTAGTTTTCTTATGATTTTAGAAATAATAATATATTTATATATATAACATCTTCATTTTTCTTTTATCTATCTTGATTGATGTAAAAGCTGAATGTAATTATAGCAATGGACTACCTATAATTATAACACTGTTACACGTTCTAATTGTATAAATAATATAAATATGCTTTTAATATATTTTCAAGATATACGTCAAATGTTTTCAATAATTTTATGATATTGAAATTCAATGATTTTAAGATATTCGTAAAATAAACAATTATTGTTTTCAACATTTTGACAATTATTATGAACTGATTATTATGACTATTGAATTTATCATCGAAATAAGTATTCTCTTATCATGTATTACCGTGACTGTGTGTATGTGTGTGTGAATCTACTACTAAAATACAAAATTAATTTAAACGTATAAGTTTATATAAGTAAATTGAGTATTTAATTCTTCTTTTGCTAAATTGATTCTTTTGCTTAGTTAGTTCTTTTCGCTTCTCTCTAATGTTCTGCGTCTGTAAGTACATTTCAAAGCTGTCATATAAAGTTAATTAATTGACTGTTTTAAATTAACTATTACTTCATAGGGAACATTTACTATTACTTCGAGGAACATAATGTATTAATTTGCACGTAATATCGAAGCAGGAATATATAGATATACAATTCGGATTTGTTTCAAGATCTCGATTGATTTCTTGTTGTAAGCAAAACGGATATATAACCGGCTGATGTTTTTATTAGCTAAAAGAGATATATACATATATTGGTAACAATGTGAAATAAGATATGTGCAAGCATAAAAAACATCAAGAAGTAAAAAAAATGGCTAAAAAATATCATGGGCGAGTCTTGTAAAAAATATCGTTCACATACCGAAATTATAAAATTGAGATTTAAGGTAACTTACATTGCAAAACGTAGCCATTGTCAAGGGAAATACTTTACCAACGTTAAGATAAAATGGTCTATCGGTCTTTGCCATTAGAAGAATCAAATTCCGCGCATATTTTGAATCCAGAGTATACCATTTATTGCAATATGCAGCGTAATGGATTTGGTCGCACTTATAATCGTAAAAGATACGTACAAGTCAATAATGGTTTAAATTGTATCTAATACAATTTATTAAATTTATTAAATTATAAACATAACATATATAACATCCAATTGAATTATAAAGCATGCATTTAAATATTAAATATAAACAGAATTTTTTTCTAAATAATTTATGTATAAAAATTATGCTCAAATTTGTTTCTGTAATATATAAATTTAATGTTTTTAAAATTAAAGCTAAATTTATTTGAAAGAAAATATATTATATCGGGATCTTAGAGAAATTTTATTACAATTTATAATTATATTAGAAATACAACAACTGTATGTGTATATACATATATGTATATGTGTGTAGTAGGAATTAAAAGATATTAAATTTACCTGTGCTGCTAACAGTTCACCGACAGCGCAATACAAGCACATGTGACCGAACGTGTTGACAACTACAGATATAATATATGCCAAGTAAGAGATCGATAAGCGACGTCCGTCTGCGAGCATCTAGTCATACATAAAGATATATTGTATGTATATATTTAGGTATATATATATTGGACATATGTAAGTATATATATAATATATTATATTGATATATATGTATATTAAGAACGGTTTACACATTATAATATGATATTATACAGGGTTTTTTAAAACCATCAGACATGTGCTTTTAATAATAGATCCTCTGATTAATTTGGAGTTAATTTTTCTTTAGTGAAATTTATATATAAATAATCATGAGACGATCAACGCAATTTTTGTGAAAATAAATTTTTTTTTGAAAAAGAGAATGACATATATAAAAGCTTATGCACAAGACATTAAGTACCTAAGTAACCGTGTGTGGTCTTCCACGTTGCTTCTCAGCATGTTGTGAAAATCGATTTTGTTCACATGCTCGATACGATTTCTTAGAATCTCCAATTGACCGCAGATATGGAACACCAGTAGCCCGAGAAAATTATCGATACCGGTATAGGACATGATGGCGAAAAACATAGAAATTATCTGAAGGACGAACGTCAATTCGTATTGCGGGCTCCTCATCACATCGTAAACGTGATACGTCTGCAACGGCAGCAACCTGCCCGTATCGGTGATGTTCGTCAGATATCTCATCGAAATCCCGCAAATAGGCAAAACGGCGACTAAGACAAAGGCTATCATCATCGCGCCGTATCCGCACGTGATAATTATACGCGCGGTCTGCGCTCTCCTGATCATCGTGTCTCGCTCCTGCTCGCTTTTCAGTTTCAGCCAATCCTCGGCGACCATGTTTAACACCCATATAATAGCTTTGAAAGGGACGAAAGGACAATGTTAAAGAAGGGTGATTTTTTGCCTTTGAGAGGAATAAAAAGAAATTTCGAAACTTAAAGAAAATATATTAATAATAATAGAAAAAAATGATTAAAGCTGGGGAAAATTATTGAGAGACGATACTGAAACGATACTTTTATCAAATCAGGATACTAATTTGGAAGATAGCTATGCAACATATAAAAAAATATGTAGGTTTTTTTTTAGAAAAAAATAGTCGAAGTTTTTTAGAAAGTATACAGAAAATTATCTTACTAATTAATCTATGTCAAAATTTCGAGAAAATAACAATTTAGTTTTCTTATGATTTTAGAAATAATATTTTTTTTCATTCTTAGTAATAAAAAACCAGACATTTTTTAAATTTGATATTGAAATTATATTAAATTATATTTTTTTAAATGTCTTTTTGAATTCAATCTTTTTAAGATGTGCCATTCTTAAAAAAAATTAAATATCAAATTCTGTTTTTGTATCTTGCTTTTTTGAAAAATTATCGAAATAAGATTCATATACAATTTGTAGTGTTTACCATAATCTTTTCGAGATTTTATGCTTATTTTTACCTTCCTCCTTCCACCAGAAAATTATGATCCTAATGGCGCAGGTGATAGCCGGCAGAGTAAATTGCAAATTGTCAATTAGCAGCATAATATTCGTACGAATTTTTATCAGCGAATGTATGGAGGGAATCAGAACGTTGATTATTAGCATTAGGACAATGATTAGAGGACGGAAATTGTACATTGACATTTCTTGAACGTTGTATTTCGTCTTAGGCCAGAGTCCGATTAGCCTTAAACTGAAACGGTTTAGCTTCACCGCCCATTCGAAATCTACCTGTTTCAAAAGACATTGATAAAGAGAAAAGAAGGCCGACAATAATTGATTAAAACATTGCTATAAAAAGAAAAACACTAGGAAAGGGACAGTGTGTTGATTCTTGCAGAACGATATAAAATGCATATCTAACACGAACTACGATCGCGATTACACACGCATGTCACACTAATAAAAATATCACAAAAAAAGAGCCGTGCTAATCGCGACAAGTCGATACTAATAAGCACCTCGGTATCCCAAACTGTTCGAAGTGTCCATGTCGAGCGTTATCTAGAGACTAGCGGCCGCTCTATCTTCACGAAACGAAGTCACCTATTTTAGTCAGCGAATTTATCACGCATGCGGGAAAAAATTGTCTCACAATTTTGCGAGACGATCGCGACTTGCGAGGAGCTGAATTAAATATACGAAACGCCCCTCGTTTTTCCACTCGTTCAACGAACTACCCACCATAAAAAAACTTATATAAGGGTACATAGATACTCCTCACTTTTTTGTAATCGATTGACGCTATTTAGAGTATATGCTTTAATGCTATAAGACGAAAGAGAAAGGGAGGGAAAGAAATATCAGAGATATACATCATACATCTATCATAATATCTTCACACATCATATGTCATACATCGTACGTACAATAATATGTCGTATCACATTATCTCTGATTAATAAATTTAATAAAATAAGAAAAGAAAATAGCTTTAACATATTAACAAAAATTACATTAACATACACCGAGTCTTCGTTTTGATGTCACTTATGACAACTTACGTTTTATAACATTTGTTAATACATAATATACATTATATATAATAATGTATATAAATATACTTTATAATNCAAAATGCTTATGAGAACTTTAAATTTCAATTATTTAATAATTAAATAAAATAACAGATTTTGAAAAACTATTAAAAAACGGATTTTTCTTTAGATAATTAACGATTTCTTTTACATAACTTTATTATATTTCTGTATCATTTTTGTATTAATATTTGAACTAATTCTATTCGTAGATTATTTTCTATGTCCTGAGATTATTTTACACTTCTTTTTTACAAGTATACAATGCAAGATATATCTCTATGAACGATATATCTAAATATGTAATTGGTGCGTCCGTTCTCATCTTTTGCCCAACAAAATATTTATTGTACATTTTATAAAAATATACAATATTAGGAAATTATATATTTATTAAAGAATAAATTTGATATACATAGATTTTTTAAATGATTGCATTTTAACAACTCTATTAAGAACAAATCATTTTACTCTTTTTTCCCATTTTTGGTTAATTTCTCGTCGTAAGCAGAAAGGATATATAACTGACTGACGTTTTTAATAGCTGAAAAATATTTATGATGTTTGCATGAAATCAGTATAAAATTAAAAATGTAAATAAGAAGTATTGTAAAACAACATATTAATTGTTTATTTTTTAACAAATATCTTTATAAATAAAACTCAATTTATACACATATAGGTGAAATATTTAGTCTTTTGAAATATAAAATTGAAAAAAAATTTAATTTCTGTTGTTTTTATATTCAGTAATTATAATTAAAACATACTTATATGCATAATAAAATCAAATTAATGTATAAAAAAGTTATTAATGTAAATTATCAATAAATTGCAAAAATTTTAAATATCACAACAATTAAATATGTGCAATTGTAATACTAATGTAATACTGGTGCTACACGATGTAATATACTGGTGCTAAAATTATAGCTTGTAATGTATTAATATCTTACACTGCAAAACATGGCAATTGTCATGGGAAATAGTTTCCCAGCAGTGAAATATACTGGTACACTGGTTTTAATCATAAAAAGGATTAGGTCTTTCGCTTCCTTCGAGTCCAGAAAATACCATTCATTATTGTAAAGCGCGTAATGAATTGCATCGTACTTTAAAATATTAAAGGAATATTTATACTTGCGTGTAATCACTCTTCATGATTAACATAAATTGTTTTATATATTTGTGTGCTCGCAATATGCGAGTTAATAAATAAACTTACTCGAGTCATTAGTACTTCGCCTATGGCGCAATAAAGAGACATATGAATGAATATATTTGTAATGCCGATGAGAAGAATTGACAGACGGATGGTCGGTATATTTTCCTCGTCAAATAGCTAATCATAATTAATATATTTTAAATCATAATTAATCTAGTTAGGCGTGAAAAGATATAATTTTTATACTATTATCCAAAATTTCCTATTAAAGTGTGTATAGAGTATGGTCTGCAAAGTAAATTATTATGGCCGGTAAAACAGGACGGTCCGGCATCACCTTAATGTATAAAAAAGTTAATAATGTAAATTATCAATAAATTGCAAAAATTTTAAATATCACAACAATTAAATATGTGCAATTGTAATACTAATGTAATACTGGTGCTACACGATGTAATATACTGGTGCTAAAATTATAGCTTGTAATGTATTAATATCTTACACTGCAAAACATGGCAATTGTCATGGGAAATAGTTTCCCAGCAGTGAAATATACTGGTACACTGGTTTTAATCATAAAAAGGATTAGGTCTTTTGCTTCCTTCGAGTCCAGAAAATACCATTCATTATTGTAAAGCGCGTAATGAATTGCATCGTACTTTAAAATATTAAAGGAATATTTATACTTGCGTGTAATCACTCTTCATGATTAACATAAATTGTTTTATATATTTGTGTGCTCGCAATATGCGAGTTAATAAATAAACTTACTCGAGTCATTAGTACTTCGCCTATGGCGCAATAAAGAGACATATGAATGAATATATTTGTAATGCCGATGAGAAGAATTGACAGACGGATGGTCGGTATATTTTCCTCGTCAAATAGCTAATCATAATTAATATATTTTAAATCATAATTAATCTAGTTAGGCGTGAAAAGATATAATTTTTATACTATTATCCAAAATTTCCTATTAAAGTGTGTATAGAGTATTCTTATATTGATACATAAACGATACATGACACTAATTCTTATAAGCACTATAAAATATTATTAAAAATTATAAACATAGAAATACAAAAATCAAATACTCACAAATTTCTTGTACCACTTACACTAACTAGTAGGAATCCTTGAAATGCGAAAAGTATAGCAAAATATAGTAAGAGTACCAAGAGTATAATATTATACGCATCTTCTACAATATCAACGGCTCTGTAATAGTTTTACATATATATTAGGTACATTTTTTGATAGTATTAATTTAAATTATATTGCAAATACAAAAAAAATAGGATTTAATAAACTATCTTTATCTATGTGTTTATCTATAAATAATATATCTTTATTTTAAAATATAAATATATCAAAAATTATAAATTTTAATATATTTTTAGGTGATACTTATATAACTATATGTACACATACACACACATACACGATTTTTGATAATTTTCTTCCAAATTGTAACAAATATACAGCATATAACAAACACACAACATATATAACAAACACAAAAGATACGATACCTGAGCAATCGAATATGGCACACCACGCTGTCTTTCAATATGTCAGGAAAATTTTTGTATTCATGTAAATGTACAAGATGATTTTTCAGAATATCTAACTGACCGCAGATATGAAACACCAGCAGTCCAAGAAAAGTGTCTACTCCTGTATAAGGGATAATAACGATGAAGACAGATATTATTTGGAAAATTAATGTAATTTCATACTGCGGTCTCTTCGTTATGTCGTAAAGATAATAGCTTTGTAAAAGCAATGGTTTGCCTGGATCAGTGATATTCGGCGTCAATCTCATCGATTTTCCAAAAATAGTCGTACTGACGAGACTTATGCATGCTATCCCCATTACCAAGAATGCGCATATAACAATTATACGTGCACGTTGCGCCCATTTAATCATCACGTTCCTTTCGTATAGACTTTTCGATTTTAACCAATCTTCCGCAATCATATTTACAATTGTTACAAGAGCTTAAAAAATATTGGAAGTTTTAATAGAAACAACAAATTTATGAATATTTCTATCATACTAAAAGAGAGACTCTCTTTCTGTTAATTATAAACTTTCAAAAATCTGTAAAATCTTCTTTAAGAAATTTCAAGAACAATATAAATCTTTTATAATATTATAAGCTTTTATTTAAAATATTTTTTAATATGAATCCAAGAACAAAAATTATTTGAAGTGCATAAGATAAATGGGACACTTTATATACAATACAAGTGTTATATAATAACTCACATTACATTATATGTTTACCTTCTTTCTTCCACCAGAATATTATAAGTCGCACAATGCTGCTAAGCAGCGGTAAAGTATATTGTAAATTATCTATTGTTAGCATAATATTTGAATGAATCCTGATTAACGAATGTATAGCGGGAATTAATAACCAAAATGCCAGAAACGTAATAAATACGCGTAAATTACACATTACTTTCTCTCGATAGTTTTGTTCTAATTTAGGCCAGAGACCAATCAATTCCAAACTTATACGATTCAATTTCACTGCCCATTCGAAGTCTTCCTATAACGATTTTGATAAGTCAAATTCTTTTGTAAAACAAATGATTTAAGTTTAAACTTCAATATTTTGTTCGACATTAGGCATTAATATTTAAGTGGGGGACAATTATTAAGGGAAGAATAAATAAACAATCCGAACTAGTTAACTGAAATGTGTAAAAATTTGAAAATTGTTTAAATAATAATAGATAATAATTAGAATTACACATAATAGATTGTTTAATCGTTCAAAATATGAATAACCAGCAACATATTACAAAGTGCAATAATGCTGACATTTTGTTAATTATTTGCAAAGAATAAAGCACAAACTCGAAAAATTCGAGAATAGCTCTCTCTCTCTCTCTTTCTATAACACGTATAACTTATTAACGTTGATAAAAACGCATTGCTCCCAAAACATAAGTGCTTCTAATCGTATTTGCGACAATTGTAATATTAGACACCTTTATATCCCGAATAATTTGTATCATCCATATCGAATGCTAGATAAAGACTGACGGTTGTGTCTTTTGCATGCACCGATGTTACCTCGCATTCAGTAAAAACATTCGTCACGCATGGAATAAAGTTTTTAAGAGCACGAGGGAAACGATATGGCTTATTAAATATTAAACAGATTTTCTTGTGTTCTGTCTCTCACTTTCTCTTACGCGATCGGCTAAAATAGTCGACGAACAAAAAACAAAAAATTACGTACTTATGGACGAGTATTTGATAGGAATATGCACATCTGTTACATTCTCACGCACTTTCAGATACTCCGTACAATTCTGTCATGATCGACAGTCTATGCAAAATGTGTGTCAAAAATTATCTTCAGCGACCGGTAAGTTAACATGAGATAGAAAATCATATTTGAAGGAAATTGTATCTCTTTTCACATATTAGCAATTTATTTATTAAACCCAGTATATTTTAATTATTCTTACATATGTAATATTAGAAATGAAAAGTGTATACGTATTTACGTATGCGCCGCTTTTAATGAATGTGAGACAACATTTAACAATAAAATATTTCATCGCGGTTTTTAATTCAATTTTATTATACAAATGATTTTCTAATATTTCTGTTATTTTTATTCTTTAGTTTAAATTTTTTATATTTCTACACGTATTGTGTTTATTTATTTTATATTTTTCAGTATATTTTTCTCTCATAGCACGTGAATATCGTGCTGAATGTAACACCTTAATCAAAATTTATAAAATATATAAAAATAATTATCTTATAATGATTAAATAATTGTGTTATATATTAAATTTGTTTCTCCGTTTTTAATAAAAATTGTTACTTAAATTTATGTATTAATATATATGTATTCTTCAATTATATATATATTTATAATTTACAATTTACTTCGTAATATCAGAATCACTTTGTATATATCTCAATCTTCAAACTGACATAGTAGAACAGATACGTAACCAGCCGATGTCTTTATTAGCTGAAAGATAAAATATATCATAATAGTGTTCCTTGACAATATATATAAATGTCACCAGAATATCTTGATACAAAAATGATTTGTTCAAATAATATCCTTATTGTAACTTTATAAAAGTAATCTTGCTATTTTTGTATATTTTTTTATCAATAATTAATAAAAATTTTTAATTCATCGGCTAGTACATTTATAACAAAAGTCAGTGAAGACAAAATTGCATATAAAGCATTAAGTAAATATATTATAATTTAATTTTTATTGCAAAATGATATATAATTGTATCAACCTTGATTCCTTTAACTGAAACTTAGTCTATCTTACACTGCAAAATGTAGCCATTGTTATGGGAAAGATCTTCCCCGCGGTGAGATAAACTGGCTTTCTGCTTTTAATTATTACAGGAATCAAATCTCGCGCTTCATTTGATTCCAAAATATACCACTCTTGATTGTAGACTGCGTAATAAATTCTATCGCACTTAAAAATATTAAAAAATCTCTCTTGAGTATTATAATCATTATGTTTCATAACTGAAAAAGTTCAACTTACTTGGGCCATTAGAATCTCACCGATAGCGCAGTGAAGGCACATATGAGCAAATATATTAATTACATTGCTTATGAGATATGCCAAGCGAGTGATCGATACATCATTCCCTTTTGTAAGCAACTGATTAAAGCGCGACATAAAAAACATAATTTATACATATTGATACATAAGTTTAAAAAATTGCATTTACATAAATATCGTTCTCAATCCCATAATATTTGCATATTGCCTATACAATATTTTCAATATATATATTCTTTATTTTGTTATTAAGAATATATATTATAACATATATATGTAAATTACATAGAAAAACTCAAAAAATTATTTTTAGGCACTCACGCTAATTATAAGAAATCCATAGAATGCGAATAAGATACCAAAACATAGAAATAATGTCAAGAGTATTACATTATATATATCTTCTACAATTGCAATGGCCCTATAAAGTAACATGTTAATTATATTTATTGCAGATTATAATCACACAAGTTAAATGACTAAAATAGCTGAGAAAGCTACAACTTTACTTTAAATTAAAGCAAAATAAAAATTTTGGAAAATAAAAAGATTAAATAGTTTTGTATGCGATCATTCTTTGGAATAGAAAAAAAGAATCTCTTTGCCAAACAATTATTATACCAATACTATATAACAAAATTACTTTAAGAGGAGAAAATGCAAAAATGACACGAGAAAAGAAAAATACCTCAGCAATCGCATGTGATCCATCACACAGCTCTTTAAAATTGTGTGAAAATTTGCGAATTTATCCGTGCAAAGGAGACGATACCTGAGGATGTCCAACTGACCGCAGATATGAAACACAATCAGCCCAAAAAAATTATCGATTCCCACATAACACGTGACAGCGATGAAGAAAGAAATGGAATGCGCGATATACGTCAACTCGTATTGCGGGGTTTTCGTTACGTCATACATATAATGGGTCTGTATCGGCATCGGTCTGCCTGGATCGGTAATATTCGTCAGGTATCTTATGGAGATTCCAAAAATTGGCAGAACGATAACAAAGATGTATGCCAATCCCATAAGAAAATACGCGAGCGCGATAATTACGCGCGCGATTTCAGCTCTTCTCACCATCGCGTTTCTCTCTTTCGTGCTTTTAGATTTTAGCCAATCCTCCGTCATCATGTTTATTATCTTTGCGATAGCTTCGAAGATAAAATATTTAATAGGAATAACAAAACTTTATGAATAGTTTTATTAAATTAAACTCACTATATAAACGTCACTGTATGAGAAAAATCCATTTAAAGTTAGGAGTCTACCTTCCTTCTTCCACCAAAAGATCACGATTTTTATTGCGCAGTTGACAGTCGGCACGGTAACTTGTAAGTTATCAACCACTTGCATGAGATCCGAGTGAGTTATTATCAACGAATGTATGGCGGGAATGAGAATGCCGGTTGTTATCACGAGAAATATGACGAGCACGCGTAAGTTACACATTAACTTTTCTCGAGAGTTTTGTCGTGTGGTCTTAGGCCACAGTCCCATCAATTCTAAACCGATACGATTTAGCTTCACTGCCCGTTCAAAATCTACCTGTAGAGATTTTACTAAGTCGGAGCTCTCTTCATGCACACAGTTAATCTTAAATTCAGATATACAGGTCATCAAGTAAATTTATAAAATGTGTAGCAAAAAAGAATAAAATATTAAAATGTTAATTTTCTTGCATATACAATTAAGGAAGTTTTAAATAATAATAAAAAATATAGAAAACTATGTTATAAAAAGGTCAATGATGTATTGTTAAAAATTGATATATAAATGACATCTCTATGAAGAGCATAAATGCTGAAATTCCGTTAGTAATAATGATTCCTTCACGATAGAAAATGATGTGCAAATATAATTCCAGTTTAGAGATTTAAACAAATGTGATAAATAAATAAACATTGTTTGCAAAATTTGTTCACTGTTGCACCGTAATAATCACGATGTGAGGCACCTTTGTATCCAGAATATTTTGAACTATCCATGTTGAATGCCATCTAAAGACTGGCGTCTGTCCTTGCTTCAAGCGACGAAGTCACCTCCTATTCAACCGAGAGCATTCGTCGCGCATGCTCATAAAATTTCTTAAAAGCGTGAAGGTAAAATGCATTGAATATTCAGAAGACTTTTTCTTCTTCACTTGCCCGAAGTTCGATATAGTCGCCAAAAAAATATGCGAACTATACATATAAAAGACGAATGGTGCAATACTATGCGTGTGAACGCATGTTACGTTCCCACGCGCTAATAATCGATTTACAATTCCGTGTGTGTAACGTCAGTCACATAGAATGATCATAGCCGATTATTTTAATGAAGGAAGACGTGTAATTTAATATTACTTGTAATTCTACAGTTTGTCCATTGTTGATGTATATAAAATTATTTATTCATAATTATGTCATTTTGCTGTTTTATGTGCAACGATTTTATAGAGTTTTGACGAAATATTTACAGGACATATATCTCACAGCAATTCAATATACATATATATTTATTTATTCATCATTTTGCTGTTTTATGTGCAACGATTTTATAGAGTTTTGACGAAATATTTACAGGACATATATCTCACAGCAATTCAACAATTCAAT